TATTAATCTAAGAATTTCTATCTAAGGCCGCACGTACAATTTTATTTTTTAGAGTCAATGGAACCTAAAAAAACTTTTTTTTTTCTAAATATTCTGTAATGGAGAAAAACTTTTGCAAACTAAGTACACTAGAAACACTAAAACTTTGGTTTTTACTTCATTTAATTTTCGACACTGCTAAAAAAAATATTTTGTTGTATTTGTTGTATTTCTAAATTGGATTAAGAAAGAAAAAATGTAGACCATTTAATTAGACAATTTTAATTAAGTTTTAAATATCACAATGTTAATGTTTTTGTATTAAAACCGTTCAAAATTCCTATTTCGCAACCATTGTCAATAAATTAATTATGTTGCATGGATGAACAATAAATCATGTTTTCAGTTTCAGTTTCATTGGTTGGATAATAACGGAACCGTCGTGTTTAATAAAACCGCTTACATCTCGCTGCAAAAACCTAAAACAGGAACTGCAAATAACTTTGTGAGATAATTTCAGCAATTTGTTCTTGAGAAAGAAAAAAAAACACGAGGTTGTGAACAATTTACTCGTTCTTGTTAGTTAATCTTCGTCGTCTATAATTAAGAAAAAGGCCACACCCAAGATGTGATTCCGTTTGTGGCGATTAAACTACTTATTACCAAAAAGAGTGTGATACACTCCAAATTACGTAATTTATTATAGCGACCGAAATGGAACAGATTTCCCCGAGTTAAATGTCGTAACGAGGCGAGTTTTTCTTTCAGAAATAATTAATTAGCAAAATTCCGATTTCAATCTCGACAATAACAATTACAACAATGAGTTCCGTTTAAATAAATTTAGAAAAAAGTGTTGACAAATGGGTGTTTCCCAGGTTTCTTATCATTTTAAATAATATCAAGCGAATCTAGTTGAATTTCAATAGAGGCCTTAAAACACTTAGCACGCGAGTTATTAACTTGAAAATTAACAGAAATATTAGTTGCTATTGTTRGAAACTATGCCGAGTATTGTTCTGTGACCTCTGATGGGAATTTCTACAAATTCGTGTTATTATCACTTGTGTAATTATGCGACGGCATTAAAAAGGTCATTTGSCCAAAATTGGATCGCAGTTTAAATCTCTTCCCCTTCACAATTAATGATAATAACATTGCTAAATTCCCCCAAAGCAATCACAAATCCAAGGTTTGTAAAAACTATAATTCAGCGTTCGTCCTGATCATCCAAAGGGGAATAATTGGCTGCTTTCTCCTGAAAATCATTTTCAGTCGGCAGGAAAATTCCTGCCTAATGAATAATAATTGAGGTATGTGTAGTATGAGGATAATACTGAGTGTTGTGTAATATMATAAATTGTGTGATAAATGCACTAGATTCGAATGGTCGAGTAGGTTTAGCTGTTGACTAAAGTGAATGCGGATAATTTGCAGGTTTGGTGGACTAATGTGGAGGCTGATTGTGCAATTTTGCAATGATTTAGTTAAGGCAACTCGGAGAAAAAATATTGTTGCAATGCTATGTTTGGAGGTTTCAGGTGGAACTGGAAGTTAATTGACTAATTTATTGAGTTGACAATTGCTGCAATTCTAATAGATTTGACTAGATTTACAGAATTCTACAAGTAATTAACAAAAAATGAAAAAATATTTGAAAAACACCAAAGTAAAAAAAAACTAGAAAATATTTGTTTTTTACAACTCATTAAAGTTGAAAAGTAATTTTTATTTTTTGGTCAGAATCGGATATAGTGCTTATGCTTACCTACAGGGTGTGTCAGAACATTTTTTCCATGTTTCTAGTATCTTACCTTTTTTTTCTCTAAGGCACGAGTTTTGGTTCATTCTGTATATTTTTGATTTTATTAGCAATTTTCTTGACAACTGTTTATCGTAGATCAAAAATCTTATTTTTATATGATACAACATTAAATGTGCTTTTTAGCGGACTAACGCCAACAGTTTCGGAGTTATTAGCAAAAAACTGCTTCGGGTACCAAAAATCGACCAAAATCCGAACCAAAAACCAAAAAAAAATTCAACTTTTAAATCGATTTATATAACGTTTTTTACATTTCTAAATGTCCTAAAGGCTCAAAAAAGGTATTTGGTTGAGTTCGAAAAATTATGAATTTTTTGAGTTTTTGAAGGTGATAATGTCA